GTAAGAATGAGAAGCTTAGCTCACTCCTGTCCTCAGTCTACCTTTAAGAGCACTGGGCAAGTGCCCGAGTAAGGCCTCAGCACGCATGCAGAAATACGTGACGCCACCGGTGTCACGGCGCACAATACAATAACAGTAATAACAGAGCAATACAGTCAAGTACAAACACCGGGAAACCGTATAATGGTTCATGAGTCTCCGTACACTGCGCTGGAGCGCACAACGGTCTGTAATAATTACGACATAATTTAGGAGTCTACACTTGTAGACTACAAGGAATGAGGTTATACGTTGAGACTTGTTAAATTGCGTTAGACGCAGGACGTCCTCGGCTCTCCTCGCAGTGAGGGCTTCACTCACAGTAGCGGAAGGCAGGTCGTTTTAAGACGTGTGAAAAAACCCAAGTCGTAAAATTTAACCCGTGCAAAAGCATCCCAAAAATTTAGTGCAGAAGTGGAAGTAAAGTTTCACCCGGTGTCAAAAATTTCTTTATCGGAAAAATAAAGTGAGTAAAAACGTGCAGAATTTGGTACAACAGTGGATATTTTACCCACTAAAAAACTTAATCGTTTGCGTGCGAAAAAGTCCAGATCCGGTATAAATCGCTCACCTATCATCGTTTAGTACAAAAGTGGTTTAGTACAGAAGTGGAGACACGGACTCTGCAACCCGGCCAAGTCTCAAGGAAAAATCGCGCGCGCCATTCTGATCGATTTGAGTCTTCTGCCTTGCAGTATGATTATCACCAACATGGGGTAACCAGCAAGCCCAGCAGTCACGAGAGAGTAACACGACCTTACCCCTCGAAACCACAAACTCGCTACCATTTCCCGATGCAAGTCCTCCCACCTAGGCATTGATTCCACATTATTGCACTTGTTTGTTCACAGTGGGATCAATTTTAAAGATAGTTTGTAGGACTTCCATCAATGCTATCAGTAGGCTAGCATTGATCCTTTGGCACCACTCATACGAAGGAACGCAAAACTGTTTGTGAACACTGAGTAGAAACCGATCTATATGATATCCAGTAGTAGTATACATCAGTAATGATGGTAATGATAGGAATGAGAAAATAGAGAACAAAGGCACTTCACATTTTGTTAACAGTGCCCTTCAGCCTATCATCAATACGGGTGAGGAACCTCAGCCGATTCACTTCATTTTCCACCGCCTCCCAGTCATGAGCCTCATCACACAGCCTCGTGAGCTCATCCTCGCACTCTTTGATTCTTTCATCATTCTCTTCAGTCAGCTTCAACATCTCCTTCTCGTCACCCTCAGCATCGTCGATCTCCTCGTTATACTCGAACATTTCCATCAGCACACTAGGATCCATATTCCCCATACCATCAGCCTCGTCATCATCAGCCTTCACCCCGGCCTCCAACTGCAGTAAATGCTCTGCTCGCTTCAAGGGAGACCTCAGCGTTTTAATAGCGTCATTAACCATAGCAGAATCAGCAGCAGCCACCTCTGCATTAGCACCATCGACGTGGGCAACTTTGTCGGGATGCAGTCTATTCTGAAGTCGCCTATAACACTTCTCAGCGCCTTTAGTATCAATAGAGTACTTATGCGGTTGGTTCAGCAAGCAGAAGTAATCAGTAGGGCAATTACGAGGCTTCTCCGGTTGGAACGAATCACATGATGGACAGAATGGACAGAACGAGTTCATAACATAGTCACATTTGGGACACTGTAAGTGGCAGCAGTCTCTAGAGCAACCCTTTGATGATGCTGATGCGAAACTGCGACGAAGAAGGCCAGTGGTGAACTTCTGCTGTTGGACTGCCGACGTGAATGCACGTTGAGCTGAAGTGACACTGGCGAGCAGAGGAGTCACAGCACGAGGAGCAACCAGAAGATGGGAAAACGCGGAAAGCATGGTGATAAATATAATAACAGGAATATAAACTACCAAGAAGTGGACCGATCTGACTAGTATTGAGCTCAACAGCAGATATTAGAATAGGAAACATGAAAACTACACCCAGGGTGGGGGGAAAATGTGCACATGGTCAACTACATGTGTTGGTGACAATATGGAAATTCCAACTGAAGTCTTGTTGGTTTCCATACACTTATACCCAAATTCGTGTGAAAAATTTCTATAATTAGCGAGGAAACTCCTGAGCTCAGCTTGGGAAAGATGAACATATATTCCTCCAACACTGACTCCACCATGTCACAAAATAGTGACAAATTCCAACACACAAAAGCCACAGAAACACTGCCACAGATGGTCATATTCTACAGTAACGTCTCAAGATAGTCCCCAAGCATGACTTCTACAAGGTGTATATACAGTACATACATTCGAGCCGCTGGAAAATCACCTCTCACTCTGAATGCACATACCATACTCGCTGAAACCGCCAATAATACAAAACTTTTTACTTCCCCCACAACTAACGATCAAGGCGTTTAACTTCAGTATTCATAATAAGTAGTGAGATTAATAACACACACGCTGTCCCTGACTGCTAGTGCAGACACAATAGCTAGTCTCCTCACTAGAATACTGAGAGCTATCTATCGAGGAGGAAAGTCATTTCCCTGGTTAGAACCAGAGTCAATCCCCGTTAAGTCATTGGTACCCATATCCTCAATATAATCTAGCTCATTGATATCATAACCAGAATGCATTTGCTAGATAACCAGAACAAAAAAGTAAAATAAAAATAGGACAGAGGTGACAATGCTTGAACGACTTCATTGAGTAATAACTATCAGACACTCTAGCTAATGAGACAAATTACACAAAGTTCACGACTATCGAGCGATCAGTTTATCAATACACTCGTAACTCGAAACTATAGAAATCAAAGAAATTTCATGATATCAATAATACGATTGAAGCTTAGAGGCATTAGATGTCCACAAATGGAGAAGTGGAACCAGTACGAGGTCAGAGTGCCGAAGCCGAAAGCTGCTGCTAAGCAGCATAGCATACCGCCCGCAGGATTAGACTGCATCCACCTGAAATCCACACTGTGAGCAGCATATGAAAATTTTGAGAAAATTCTGGGAAAATCTTGTTGATTTCTGTACATTTTTACCCAATTTCGAATTTCTGAATTTCACGAGGAAACTCTCAAGAGAAGCAGATACTGTGATCGCGTTATAATTACACTTTATATTAGGATCAACAACGAGGTTTACTACGATGGTACTTGCAAGGGCTCGGGCCGCATATAGTCGGTTAAATATGGTCCCCAGTTGAATGCACTCACCCACAGTGTGCGAACGAGACGACACTCAGAAGGATCTGTTGATGCACATGATCAACTACATGTGTCAGGGACAATATAAAACTTCTGAGGAAAATTTTGGGGTGCCTGAACACTCCTACCCGAATTCGTATATGAACTTGCATAATCAGCTTACAAAACTCCTGCTGAGCTCAGCTGAGGAAAGCGAGCATATATTCCTACTCTCCTCACATCAACATTGCCCCCCAGTGGCCTTCCGAACGACCAACACAACACAGTGCAATAATGTGCAAATAATATTCACGGCCCAACAGCAGTTGCATGCGGCAAATGCAATGATACCAATAATGATACAAATCCAGAGGTCCCAGGTTCGATCCCCGCTCATGTCGATACTCCTCCCGGTATTTCCTTCAAGCCCAACCCCCCCGTCTCCTCAGGTTCGCTTTGACCTGCCGAACTGGCTTCCGCCTCTGCTGACGATTCACCAGGCAATAAGCCTCCCTCCGTTCTAGCTCGGACCAAGGCTCTACTAATACGAGACTTGAACGCGTTAAACGGCAACGTGCCCAATTCGAGACTAGAATTACTGCTCTGCAGAGGCCGATTGCCACCCACACTAGGCGCCCGTTTGAGAGCGTCCAGAGCAGTGACAACATGGGAATGCGCCTGACACCTGAAGAAACGATACTATATTGCTTTCAATCAGTGTGGGAAAATATGCACATGGTCAGCTACATATGTCGGTGATGACAATATGAAAAATTTGAGGAAATTTCGAGAGACTGTTGTTGAACACTCCTACCCAAATTCGTGTATATATCTCTATTATTAGTGAGAAAACTCTTGAGCTCAGCTGAGGCAAACGAGCATATATTCCAACACTGGTTTCAATATGTCATACCATCA